AAAGTTCTTTCCTTTTTTGTGATACATAAAGATTTTTTTTCCTTCCTATTCCAAAGAGTAATACAGTGTGCGGGTGGTGGAACTGTTTACAGTCGTTCTTGATTGTGGGATCTTAGACAGCTTTCTGAATTCTTTATATGTCGCTTTCTTAATTGCTGGAATTATTTTGGACTCCATCTACTTTAGAGTTTTTCTCGTTTATCTTTAATAATATTGGGCAAAATAATTTTTATACGTTTTTGCATAAAAACATCCCCTCTGAAGGAGTAATGAGGTTATTTATTCTTTAATGCTCTTGAGTTGCTTTGTATTTTTAAGCCATAACTTATAAGACTTGATCATTATGTTGGGAAGTCGAGATGCCTCAGAAACACTGAAGAATGAAAGATTTCGTCATTGTTATTAATAAGGGACTCAAAATTAAACAGCTTAATTAGGGATGGAGGAGTAATAGCTAATATTAAGTTAAAGTACTGTTGTAAACTGTAGTGTTGCATAGGAACGTCATATATTAAATAACTATTTAACACAGAAGTTATTTCTGTAAATAGAACTGCCAAGCAAGTGGTATTTTTCTTTTTGCGAAACTGTTAATTTATAGCTTAAAGTAGACATTCAATTTTTCTTGTGCGATAACCTATAATTTTATGAGCCTTAAAATTTACGTTTTAAATCTCTCTCAAGCTCTAGTGTCAAGCGAAATGTCGTTTTGAAATTAGCTGAGTCAGTTACCTTCACTATGAACGTGTGTGTGTGTACACGCTTGAGGTTATGGACAAAGGTGGAGGTTGAATCTGTTTTTCCTTTGACTCTAATAATTTTAAGATGTTTTCCTAGAGAAATGACAGTTGAGTTTTAATCATTCTACGAAGCTATCTGTATTTGTCAAGAACAGTTATTTTTACTTTGACTCCTAAACACATTGAAGGTCCCTAGGACCTTATAGGTGTATATATAAGCTTATATCTTAATCCACTTTTTTCTTTGAATATTTATACTTATGCAGTAAACATGAATTTGTGAGTGAAAATCCCCATTTATCATTGTCCTCCACCCCTTTGGTGGGATTGGCAATGAGATGGAGAGGTGTGGTAGTATCCCTTTCTCTTTACCCTTCTGAACAATGTTTAGTTTTGCTGCCCTCTTCTAACAACTGTGATATGTGTATTTTTTGTGGTATATGTATTTTTTATCCTCTAACTTTAGTCTCTAGTTCTATTTTATATCTCTACCCCATCCTCTTTTTTTTCCTGACAAGTGTAGTGTTTATGTCAAGAAGTCAGCTTGAGTTCACCCTGGCTCCAGAAATTGATAGCTGCCAGTGTCTTTGCACATCTGATTCCTTATCTGTAAGACGGGGATAATATTTGCGCATCTCCTGGATTGGTTGTGAATATTGAGAATAGGACCTGTATAAAGTCCTGAAGCACTCAATGAAAAATGAAGAAAAACTAAAACTAAATATAGCTATTTTATCTTGTTTTAAATCTGTCGCCCCATTTTGTTTTAGAAAAAGATTCAGAATAAATAGATATGGCTTCTCTCTGGTAAATGTACTTCAAAAGAAGTTTTTTATATATATAGTGGCTAGAGAATCCTGAAAAATACAGTTTCAGTATTTCTTGTGGTCCTTGTTATCTGAAGCAAAAAGTACTGGGGTTGGTAGCAATTTTGTGAAGTAACTTCACTCTTCATTTGGTCTACTTAATACTCGCTCAACCCTTCCAGGGTCAGAATGGCAGGCTTTTAGAAAGAATATAAAAGAAAAATGAAAAGTTAAGCCCAATTTTATAAATCATCTTTCTCTTTATATCTTTGTGTCTAGATTTTAATTAAATTTTTTTTTTATTGGCATGATTTTTGGAGTGTATTGGAAATACTACTCTGGAAAGTTACTTTATATGATGGTGGTTTTTCCTAAAAATTGTTTCTGTTTTAACTTCGATTGCCTGAAAAATGAGTCACCTGAAATTAAGACCAAAGTGATACTGGTAAAGGCCCTATTTTGGGGTAGTGGCAAAAATGAAATCCATCCTAATGCCAATTGAAGAATAACAACAACAAAAATGAATTGAAGAATAACAACAAAAAAAATGAATGGTTATGGTATGTCTTGCCTTCAAGGTGAATTTCTGTCTAGAGAAAAGTTGTTTGCATAAAATAGTAAGGCATATCTTCTGAGAAGACTAGCTCTTAACATTAAATTAGCAGTCCAACTTTTGAAGCTAATGAGTCGTGTATAGAGAAATTATTTCTGCTACTCATTCCTGCAACAGCAGTATGCACAGTAATTTTAAAAGATGATGTGCCTAGAGAGCCAGTCTGGCACTGTTCAGGACATTCTGTGACTAGAACTATATTTAACTCTTGGCAGAATCTCAGGAAGACATTTTTTAGGCTCTTTGACCTGATGAACTTTCTTTTATACTAAAGAACTTTGGTGATGATACTCTAGGAAGGGAAATTGAGCCTCTTGGTGCGTTAGCTGATCTTCATTCTGATTGTACAGTGCCTACTTAGAAAAATTTTGAGGCTTGTATAGGAGTATAAATATGTTAATTTTATATTGGACTAATGGATATATTTCTTGGTCCTGGCCTCAGCCTTATAATAAGCAGAAATATCTTTAGGATGTTACTTCAGAAATGTAAAACGGCAGGCTTAAATTCCCAAATACCTAAAACCATCTTGATGAAAATTAGATCCTGATCAAAATGAATGATTTTTGTGAGTTGAGAAAAATCTCTTGGATTACTTTTCTTTGACAGACTATAACTAACTAAATAAATAAGTAAAAAATAAAGTCTCAACAGACAAAAACCTTAACTGGTGCTTTCATTTTAACTTCCCTTGAACAAGGAGTAGTGCCAGCTTGGTGGTCCATTGATATAGTTTAAAATGCAATGATATAGAAAGTAGTTCCTTCTTTCTTATTATAACAAAGAATGACATGATTACAGTGGAGGCTGAGGTTAAAACCCAAATCTACTGACTGAACAAATTGTCAGCCTCATAGCAGACAGATAAAGAAACTAAACCAAACCAGACTAGCATGAACTATTGCTGATGACTAGAAAGCAGACTTTTTAAAAATCAATCATTTCTCGACTGCATATGTATGTTAAATTATATCCATAGATAAAATGAAGATATTTATATTATAAATTTTCTTTTCACATGGAGTAGTTTTATTTGCAACAAATGCCTTTTATTCTAATTTGAAAATTTTGCAGAAATTTTTCCTTCACAGGCTTTTAAAGATAAATGCTATGAAGTCTTTTGGTGGAAGGAAATTAAAATGTCAGACATTGAAGATAAAGTTCATACCAAAATTATGACTGCATTTTAGACTGTATAAACTCACTATTTTCTGAGCTTAGTTTTTCTAAGAATGACATTAAAATAGACATACTCGAATGTGTGTGAAAAATTTGAGTCTACATTAGGTTAAATGGGAATTTTTAATTGTGTTGAACTGATTTCCTTATAATTCTCCTTGTAAATGTAGTGAAATGTAAACCTAATCCTGGTTCTTTAACTTGCATGAAGAAATTTTTTCTTTTATACTAACCGTTTATTAATGACCAGATGTTGTAGAATACTCTCTGCATGTTGCTTTTCAAATCTGAATTTCCTTAA